ATGGACATTATTTCATTTTACATAGGAACATCGCGAGTAATCAAACCCCGAACCAACATCTAGCATTCAAAACCGACACGTTTCCGAGTCCGGTGAGTTCATACCCCTACCCTTTTTCACTGTTTTCATTGTTTTCAGGGGGGAACACAAGCAAAGTACAAGGAAATTCTTGTACTCAAAACATATTTTCAAATATGTGTTTCATATTTCGTATGCTTTTATAACTGATTACTACAACTGATAACAGATTCAACATACAGATCACGTAACATATATTTGTGAAATAGGTCTTTAAACTAGTATGTTTTACATATATTTCACAAATGGCTTTCCACATTTTATCAGTTAAAATCATGGCATTAAAACATTTGAACATAATACCTGTACACTGTTTTGTCCTCGGTAACACTCCACACACATACGCGAGTGGAGGATTATCATATTATTACTGGTAAATTTGTTAATCCTGTGTGATTGGAGACACGTCCTCAGAGAACACTCCACCGAGATACGCGAGTGGAGGACTACACCCATAACCAGAATCTCTGGTATTTAAAGAGCGTGACTTGAGTGTATAGATCTATACGGGGCTGACTACCCCACACCTGACTGCTAGCTACAGTCGAACCGAAATGGTTCAAGGGTGACGAAAGTCATAAGTATGTGGACGACTTATTGCCACGTGTGGACTACTTATTGCCACAGGTTTCAGTTTATTGTATGGTTATGGAACTCGCAATTAGGATAACAGAGATTTACTTATAGTAATAATGAATTACTTTATACATCTCTTACATCTTTTACATCTTTCACTTACTGTAACTAACATTCAGGAAAGTACGGGACTTTCCTGGGGAAAACATGGAAACCAATCACGATTACATCTTTTACGTCTTTAACATCGTTTACATTAGATACCAACATGCAGGAAAGCATGGGGCCTTCATGGGTAACACTTACATAACTAGAAAGAGTAATAAACTGGATAACGTTACATCTTTTACAAATTGGTAACATACAATAAGGAAAGTATGGGACTTTCCTGGTAACACATGATAAGTAAACAGAACAGTTTAACAAGTCAGATAACCAACTATACATTTTCACATGAGTAGACATGTTTTCAGTGTACAAATTTACCATACTTTACATTTGTGAAACAATAACCAACTTTTAAGAAAATACGGGATTTTCTTGGTGTACATAACATTTCAGAAACAGAAAGGAAACTCGAAACATTTTCACAAAACAAAAACCGCTTATGAACTCACCAGCTTTATGCTGAATTTCAAACCGCTTGTGTTCTCAGGTCAGTGTTAGAACAGGTACCCGAAGATCCTTTTGCTCGAAGACGGAGTACATGAAGATCCGTTTCATTTTGTTTATATATACTATGTATCACAACTGTACAAACTTTACTTTTGAAACAACTGTAAAACTTTCTTATGTAATGTAATGGTTGTTTTACTTTACTTACTATGTGCATTGGATTTGATACTCAACGTGGAGTCAACCCCGGAAATGTTTCCGCCTTCGGTTTTCGGGGTGTGATAATATGCATCGAGGCAACTGAAGCCTCATGAGGAAAGGTATCCCACCGAAAATTTAGAGTTGGGGGCAGTGGTGTTCTCCCTCAAGATCTAGCATCACTATTTGTATGGGGTCCGGTGTACCATATACACGGATCATAACAGCCTTAAGTACTTGATGGATCAGCCCAGCCTGAACATGCGGCAGAGGAGATGGTTGGATGTGGTAAAAGATTATGATTGTGAGATCCTGTATCACCCGGGTAAGCCTAACGTGGTAGCCGATGCTCTGAGTTGTAGGACAGAGAGCGTCCTAATTCGTGACATTTGTATGAGATTGACAGTGATGACTCAGGTGTTCGACACTATTCGAGGGGCCTAGGCCGAGGCTGTGAGACCAGAAAACCAAAAGAGGGAGCGAGTTATTGGGCAGGTATCGGAGTTCGTTACTAATAGTCGGGGACTTATAACATTTCAAGGTCGGATTGGGGTACCGTTTGTAGGGGGAACGCGTACCATCTTGATGGAAGAGGCAAATCGATTGAAGTTCCCGATCCATCTCTGGGCCACTAAGATTTATCTGTGCCTAAAGAAGAAGTATTGGTGGCCCTGTATGAAAAGGGATGTTGCGTGGTTTGTTAAAAGGTGCCTAACCTGTCGTCGGGTTATAGCCAAGCACCAGAGACCACATGGTAAGTTACAGCCATTAGAGGTTCCCAACTGGAAGTGGGAACAGATTGCTATGGACTTTATCACCAAATTGCCAAGGATTGCGAGGGGCGTCGATGCAATTTGGGTGATTGTAGACCGGTTGACGAAGAGCGCTCACTTCCTTGCCATTAGCGAGAGCTCTTCTGCGGAGAAACTAGCAGAATTGTATGTGAGAGAGGTGGTCACGCGTCATGGAGTTTCAATCTTGATTGTCTCGAATCGAGATGTTCATTTCACTTCCAAGTTCTGGAAGAAATTTCAAGAGGAGTTGGGTATGCGGTTGCATTTTAGTACCGCATATCACCCACAGACTGATGGGCACAGCGAGCAGACAATTCAGACGCTCGAGGATATGCTCCGAGCATGTGTATTGGATTTTGGCGAAAGTTGGGACACATATTTACCCTTAGCAGAGTTATCGTACAACAACAGCCATCATTCGAGCATTGGTATGCCACCCTTTGAGTTGTTGTATGGGAGGAGGTGTCGAACCCCCATTTGCAGGGGAGAGGTGGGACAACATTTAATGGGTAGCACGGAGATCGTGCGTCAGACGACTGAGCAGACACAGCAGGTCAGGAAGAGGTTGTTGACCGCTCAAAGTCGTCAGAAGAGTTATGGGGAGAGGCGTCGGTCCGAGCTCGAGTTTTAGGTCGGTGACTTTGTACTCTTGAAGGTCTCTCCTTGGAAAGGAGTGATCCGATTCAGGAAGAGGGGCAAGTTGGGGCCTCGATATATTGGACCTTTCAGGGTAGTCACGAGGGTAGGCAGGGTAGCCTAGCGTTTGGAACTACCTGCGGAGTTGGGTCAGATTCACGACACTTTTCACGTGTCACAGTTGTGAAAGTGTATAGTTGACGAGTCGGCAGTGGTGCCATTAGAAGATATTCAGGTATATGCGAGCCTGAATTATGCTGAGAGATCGGTGGCGATCAGGGATCGGAAGATCAAGGTTTTGAGGAGCAAGGTAGTGCCATTGGTGCTGGTCTGGTGGCAGCATCGGAAAGGGTCAAAGTTGACTTGGGAACTGGAGCTAGAGATGCGGGAGCAGCATCCGGAGTTGTTTGCAGAATGAGACTTCGGGGGCGAAGTCTGATTCTAGTGGGGGAGAATTGTAACACCCGGATTTCCAGGTATGAGATTTTGTTCCTTCATTTTTGGGTTTTGTGGGGGAACTCAGTGAGTTGGCATCTAGACTCGTCGAGTATGGTCGCGGTTTTGGATGCGAGTTCACAGCTGCACTCGGCCAGTTCATGAGTGGACTCAGCGAGTCCATGCTGATTAATGAAACCCTGATTCCAGGGTTTGAGACCTATGTAAAGGCCCTTATGGTCGTCCATTGCGGCTACCACACCCCAGAGAGAGTCTTAGATCGCTTGTGAGGAGAAGAGAGGCCATTGTTGATCAATTGTTGGTAAAATTTGAAGGAAAAGGTGACCAAGGAAAAAGAAGGTTGAAGGAAGTGCAAATCTAGTGTCTTCAGAGATCAAAGGCTTCATATTAACGTATTCCTTCGGACCTTCTCCAGTTTTGGGTGTTGATTCATAGAGTCTGGGTTTTTTAACCCTTTAGAAGAAGAATATGTAGAGTTTTTAGTCCCCTTTCGAGAGTGTGCTTTGGATCTAGACTCAAAGGGGTCCAGAGACTTCAATCCATGAAGCTTTATAAGTCTTTTGGGGTGATTGGACTTAGGTTTCCATTGTTGGGACTAAATCACCATTTAATGCCATTATATATATTTATAAGCATCAAGTTTCGAGCTTTACGTGACTTTCGTGCTTGGGAAGGCCAGATCTGTGGGTTAGGGGCACAGATCTGACCCTAGGAGGTCAATAGAGATGATGCATGGCTTGAACTCGCCGAGTTGTTCTTGAGACTCGGCGAGTAGGGTTAGGGTTTCACGTGAATAGCTCTGTGTATAGACTTGCCAAGTTGGGGGATAACTCAGTGAGTCAGAGGGTGATTAGAGAACTGGGGTTCAAGGCGGTACTCGCCGAGTTGTTCTTGAGACTCGGCAAGTTGAGTCGGGGTGGCCCCGCGATTCATGCCAAGTGTGACTCATCGAGTAAAGAGAATGACTCGACGTGCCAATAAAAGGACTAGGAGAGTCAGTGGACGTGTAGACTCGCCGCGTCGCCCAATTGCACTCCACGAGTCAGGTTAGAGTTTGTCAGTTGACTTTTGTTGACCATAGGGTTTAGTCAGCAGTGAGGCCTTTTGAGCCAGAAGAGGGGTAAAATGGTCTTTTACCCTTCTGAGGATGTTAAGAAAGGTTGGACTATAGTTATATTTATGGGAGTATTTGCTTTATGTGATTAGGCGGAGACTAGATCACGTTTCTACCGAGGCAGAGACTTACCGAGATATCAGAGGTGAGTCTTCTCACTATACTGTACCTGGAAGGGTACCTATGTGTGACCGGAAGGTCTGATATGCTATAAGATATATGCAGTGTATGTGATTAGTTATCCATTTTGTATGTGTTATGTATGTTGTGCTTGATATGGGCCGGAAGGCATTATGATGTAGACCGGAAGGTCGACACGGGAAGGACCAGAAGGTTTACCGGGTTGGGACGGAAGTCCCCTAAGATATATGGACTGGAAGGTCATGGCCTAGAAGGGCGTATGTGTGTAAGTGGTATTTTGGGGAACTCACTAAGAATTTATGCTTACAATTGTTGTGTTATGTGTTTCAGGTACTAGCTAGGACCGTGGGAAGGTGCCAGCATGATCTGTACACACTGACGGAAGATTTAATTTATGATCTTGGGCCGCTTTTTATCTCATACAACTGTGACGGCAACTGACCCGATGCCTTCTCTTTTTCCCACTTAGCTTTGTTGCCCCGATAACCATGTGGGCCTACTCGGGCTGGATTCGTATTACACATTGAACTCATCCTTGCTTTCTCACTTATATCCTGCCGACAAAAACAACAACCACAATATAAAACTGGAACATAATGATTAATATTATCAAGAGACATTATATCCTACTAACCTGGAATTCCGTTGATGATATTCTTTCCTTAAACTTTTGCAATGCAGTCTTTTCCAGATATGAGTAGCTTTCAAGTGGATTTCTCTCATTCTCATTAACAAAAGAAATTCTTTTTAAGCCTCTTTTTGTATGATCTCCACTTGTGGTTGCCAGTCATAAGCACATATGATTTGCGGTTTTCATCATGGATTTTCCAACGTTTCTGTTTTTGTTTAAAAAAAAACAAAAAAACAAAAAACTATTAGTAACATATTCATTAAATGAAAGCACATGTAATGTGTATTAGATTAAAAACCTTGATGGTCAACCATAAGTTCTCCTTTTCATTTGCTGGCACTTTCTTCCAAGTCGGATATTCGATAGAAATTAACTTTCTCGTAACAACCCCGCAATCATTGGCGAACTTATTTTGATTATCGCCACAATGCTGACCAAGACTGTTAAATTCAACTTCTTGTGGCTCTGTTATATCCCTTAGACGTGTGGCTGTTCTTTTTTTCCTCGGTTGTTGTTATGGCTAATCAGTCATCATCTTTATTGTAGATGATTTGCAAATAGCTCAACCACCTACCTGAACAGATTACAAAAACAATTCACATGATATCACAATTGTCCCACTCCCTACAAGTCTACCCTCATGTCGAGATTTTGGAATGATAATACTATTGACACCTTGTAGATAGTCAGTACAATATTCAATTACCTCTTCTGTTGCGTATCCTTCAACAATACTACCCTCTGGTCGATGTCTATTCCTTACATACCCTTTTAAGATGCCCATATATCTCTCAAATGGATACATGTATCGTAAGAATACTGGCCCACAATACTTTATCTATCTAACGATATGAGATGTCAGATGAACCATGACATCAAAAAATGAAGGTGGGAAATACATCTCGAGTTGGCATAACGTCAAGATAATATCACTTTCCCATGAATCTAACACCTCGAGATCAATAACTTTAGAATGAATCATGTTGAAAAACAAGCATAGCTTTGTGATTGTGTGTCGGATGCGGTCTGGTAGTATTCCACGAATTGCAATGGGAATCATATGTGCCATTAAAACATGGCAATCATGGGACTTCATACCAAATAGTTTTAGTTCTTTCATTGACACTAACTTCTTAATGTTAGCCGAATAGCCCGATGGAACCTTTACACCATGTAAGCATTTACAAAATTTTGTTTTCTCATCCTTTGACATGGTATAACAAGCTACTGGAAGATACGTACGCTTTCTAGGATTCCTAATAGGAGCAAGCTTGGGGCGAATTCCCATTTCAATCATGTCTTCTCGAACATTAATCCCGTCTTTTGACTTTCCCTTGATGTTCAACAATAAGGCTATCAAGCTTTCACAAACATTTTTTTCAATATGCATAATGTCAAGACAATGGTGAACCTGCAAGTGTTTCCAGTATGGTAACTCCCAAAATATAGATCTTTTCTTCCAAATAATTTTGGGAGGAGTTGTACCAGTACGTTTACGTTTACGTTTTTCTTTGCCATTACCTTTGAATTTTCCAAATGTAACGTTTAGATTTTCAACATGAGAAAATACAGTTTCTCCTCGTAATGGTTTCCTTGCTGTCCTCTCCTCGGTTTTACCATTGAACACCTTTTTTTCTTGCGATATGGGTGATTTTTTGGAAGATATCTTTGATGATCCATATATACATTTTTCTTGGAATTTGAAAACCATAACAACTGTGTGTCATCTTCACAAATTGGACATGCATTTGCTCCTTTTGTGCTATATCCAGACAAATTCCCATATGCTGGAAAATCATTTATCGTGCAATAAATCATGGCCCGAAGTTGGAAATTTTCCACACTATATGCATCATACACTTCGACACCCGGACTCCACAATTTTTTTCATGTCCTCAATTAATGGAGCTAAATAAACATCGATATCACTTCCCGGTTGTTTTGGACCTTGAATTAGTAACGAAATCATGATGTATCTTCTTTTCATGCATAACCAAGGCGGATGATTGTAGATGCAAAGAAGAACTGGCCATGTACTATGGCGACTGCTTAAGCTTCCAAATGGATTAATGCCGTCAGAACTAAGTCCAAACCTAATATTTCTAATATCCTGACCAAACTCTTCAAAATTAGAATTGATATTTCTCCATTGAGGAGAATCTGCAACATGCCTTATTTTTTTTGTCTATTGTACGCTCTGCATGCCATCACATTAAGTTTGCATCTTTAGCGTTTGCAAATAACCATTTTAAATCTTGGAATGATAGGCAAATACCATAAGACATTAGCAGGCGGTCCACTCGCTCTCATTTTATTGTTTTCTTCTGTAGGATTTTTCCTTTTGTATCATGATGTACCATATGTAATACAACTATGTAGATCTGCATATTCGTTTCGATACAACATACAATCATTTGGGCAAGCATGTATTCTTTCAATTTCCATTCCCATTGGACACATCAATTTTTCTGCTTGGTATGTGGACACAGGTGGCTCGTTATCATCCGGAAGCATCTCATGCAAAATCTTTACAGGTCTTGTGAAGCTTGTATCACTCCAACCATTGTTTTCTTTTAAGTTAATCAATTTCAACACAGCGGATAGTTTGGTAAATTTTGTACACCCAGTGTATAACGGTTTTTCTGATTCATCAAATAATTGTTGAAATTTTTCATAATCATCTTCAGCAACATTGTCTTCACAATCATGTAACACTCCCGATATGTTATCATAGTTGTTATCGTTTGTATCATCAATATCATCATTATACTCTAAAGGGGCTACATTATGATCAACCAATATCTCACCATGTCGTGACCAACATGTATAATCTCTCATAAACCCACGAATTATCAAATGCTCTTCTGTTTTAGCAGAATCAGTGTACATACAACAATTCTGACAATCTACACAAGGACACCATATGTAGTTTTCTCCTTTATTCACCCGATTCTCCTCTGCAACTTTAAGAAAACCACTCAAACATGCCAAATATTCATCGCCTGAACGTTTAATTCCATACATCCAGTAACTACGATCCATCTGTCATTACACGCAGTATATATTAGTAGCATGCATGTAGGACAACCAATGCATCCAAAGGCATATGTAACATACCTAATACAATATTCCTATTAAAAAATAGGATCGAGTGCTTGTCAGTAATAAAAATATATTATTTCCTAAGTTAGATTAATATTCTTGTAATGTTAAAACGAACAATAAATCAAGTAATATAACAAATTAGGTAGTAAAATAAATTATTATTATCATTATTATTGGATTAAATATGATGATAAAAGAACATGATTAATCAATTAACATAAATAAGATAATTAAACAACTTGTTACTATTTATTATTTCGATTTAGTTTTAATAATAAAACAAATTATTTACTCATATTTTTGGTATGTTAAACTTAATAATAATTTATAAAAATTGATAGAGAGATAAAAATACCTTTAGAAAATATAATGCATATAAATAAAAAAAAATACCCTTAAAAAATAGAATGCATAAATAAAAAGTAAAATATTTAGCAGGAATACTTTCTTTGTTTTCCCGCGTCTTTCTCATCTCTGTTAAATGTCTTTTTTTATCAGGCATACAAAACAAACACATATCTCATCTTCATCTTCAGATCTCTTCCCCAACTTCAAAACCTCCCACATTAATGATCTCGTGTGGGATTTTTTCCCCCAAAACAGCCGATTCCCTATTACGTTATATAATTAGAACTTAACCTATTCATATTCACTACTTTTCCTCCTCAAACAGAAACAAAAGTGTGGGAAAATTAGAGTGTGAGAGGGGAGGCCGCCATTGCTGAAGAGATCTCGACCTTAGGGAGAGAAATAACAACTATCTCTCTTTGTTTTTTGTTTCCTATCAGCTGATTTATGTTTTGTTGTATGTATGCGTGTAAAATCAGTATTCAAGCCGACCCAGGCGAGTCAAAGATGTTGCTCATCAAGACGTTCCGAGTCCTCACCAAGACGCTCAAGACTGTAAATGTAAAAGCCGATTGTATTATTCAAAAAATATTTTTAGTGTTTTCTATTTCAATTTCGAGAGAATTTTCGATCTGTCTATCCATGACTTTCAAACATGGTCCTTTCAACTCGAAATTGATATTAGTTTTCTCATCTATTGCGCTGTTGAAACTAAAAATCCAAGATTTTTCATGATCTCTATTATTGAGTTGAGTTGATTTGTTGGTGCAGTGTCCACACAAGCTTTTTAATGACATACCAGGAACCGGCAAAACTACCACTGCCCTCGCCATTGTTAAGCAGCACTATATATTTGAACTTTTTTTGTTTGTTTGTTTTAGTTTCTTTCTGGTAATTTTCTTGTTAGCTAGTTTGACTGATGAACATTAGTAAAAGAATGTCATGAAAAAATCCACCTTAAATTTAATAAGATCTGTTTGGGAATTTTAGGTATTGTTAATTGTCATTTAGTGCTGTTTATTTGATTTTGCAGTCAGGAATTGTACAAATGCAGGGTTCTTGAGCTGAATGATAGTGATGACTGTGGAATCAATGTATACAATATCTAAAATTAAGAATTTTGTTGCAGTTGTTGTTGGTTCTAGGCATCAATGGTATACAAGGTGTAACTCAAATATAGTTTACCTTCTTTTATTACTTTCTGAGTACCCCTCTCATATGAGTTTTATTTGACTTTTATTCTATCATATCATAGCCACAATTTGATTAATATTGTGATGCAGGTGTTATGGTTATCCTTGCCCACCTTTTAAGATTATCATCCTTGATGATGCAAATTCAATGATTGAAGATGCACAGGCAACTCTCTCTCCCTATTTTTTTTAATTTTATAATTATTTGGCAGTGATATACAAGTAGTAATATAAGTATCTTGTTTTTGTGTTGCAGAATGCCTTGTGTCATACAATGGAAACCTAATCTGATACAGATGGGAAATACTAGCACAAAAAAATGTGTCTCACGGTCTCACAAAATATAGGTGGTCTCAAATGAACCTAACCCTATATATATATATATATATATATATATATATATATATATATATATATATATATATATATATACTAACAAGAACTAGGCAAGTTAAGTGTTTATAAATTTCATAGGAAAAGTATAGGAAGTTCTAAAGGTATTTTCAAGGAAAGCAAGTTTCTATGATACCGAAGAATTCTTATTCCTCGGAAACATTAGTAGGAAATCCCTGTTGTTTCTTGTAGTGGATAGTGTTAGCTTCTTGGAAATAAGGATTCGTTAAGTTAATGGTAATTTATTAAATACTGTTTAAAGCACATATATCATTATAAAACATATAAAGAGAAAGCAATCAAAATGGAATTACACATGCATTAGTTTGTAGTACAAGCACTTGGTACTAAAAGCAACTCATGTTTTCGCTTTAGAGATGCTCCAAAAGTCTCACTCATATCAAGGTCTTCAGATCTTATTCCATCCGGGAGTTCCCAATTAAAGTGGTGGAGTAGCATAGCAAGAGGTAGCTCCACGTTGATCAACCCCAAATTCATCCCAGGACACATTCTTCTTCCAGCCCCAAATGGGAGAAACTCAAAATCTGTTCCTGACATGTTGATCGGAATATCGCTAAATCTTTCAGGTATGAAACTTTTTGGATCAATCCAGTAGTCTGGATCACATCCTATTTTCCACACATTGATCATAACTTTCGTATTGGCTGGAATGTGGTATCCACCAATCTCACACTCTACTCGGGACTCTCTAGGGAGTAACAATGGAAGAGGTGGGTGCAACCTTAATGTTTCCTTAATCACTAGTTTTAAGTAGTTAAGTTCTTGAATATCAGACTCACAAATCTTGTTCTTTCCCTTGAGTACATGTCTCAGTTCTGCTTGCACTTTTTTCATCACCTGTGGATTTTTCATTAATTCTGACATTGCCCATTGAATCGTTACTGCAGAAGTATGTGTGCCTCCGGCGAACATGTCCTGTACCATTAAAAAAAAAACTTTGAGTTGCAAAAACTTATGTTTTGAAAATTGGCGTCCAATTAAAAGAATAAACAATGTACGCACTTCACAAGAATAAATTAACCATATTTGTTTAAAAGTGTCATATACACAATACGGCTTGCATTTACCTTTGCATGCAGTTTATTCAACATAAGTAGTTATTGTTGGGTACATTCTACTTGATTTCATGTATATAAAATATCGAGTAATACCTTCAAATGTTTATTCCATATTCATTATACATGATTCGGCCCGTATTTAATAACGGTTGAAAAATTCATGTACCGCTAAAGCTTGATGCATGTATAAAAACTAATGGGATATAATCATTTATGTATAATGATATAGCATCAATAAAGATGGCAAAAAGCCAGAAACTAACAAGATTTGATAATTTGAATCAGAACTGAGACATGAATTAGAATTATCAAAAGAGTTTGGTTAAGAGATTTCAATATGTTTAATTGAATGGGTTGACACAACAAAAATTAAAAGAAAAATTAAACGGATCAAGACTTTACTTTCATTTTTTCATTTTTTTCATTTATCTTCCATACTCGGCGAGAAATCAAATTGGATATATGACAGGATAGAACACAATAATGACTCATTTAATATTTAAACAGGTCATGTTTGCAAAGTCTAAGCATTAATAATATTTAATTTTAATTTTAAAACTTACACTTGCTATATTAAGAAAGAAGTGTCATTCAAGAAAAAAAAAAAGGGAAAATGATTTTAAAACTTAATGAAGTTTCCAAATAATTCAAAAAACCTTAATCATATTTTGTCTTTTCAAAAAAATTTAATGAACTTAACATTTTATCTAAAAAATCCAACAAAATTCCAAACTGTTCAAAAAATCTCAATTTTCTTTTGTTTAAGTTCATTGCGTTTTTTTAAACAGTCAAAAAATGATTGAAATTTTTTCAACGTTTTGGAAACTTCGTTGATTTAACAAGTCATTTTCCCGATACGGTAATAAGCCACGTCATCTGTTTCTCTTATTTGACATTCAGGAAAGTATAACCTAGTTAGGTTTTTTTTAGACCAAATGTTAAGTTCGTTGGGTTTATTTGAACAGACAAAACATGCTTGGGGTTTTTTGAATGGTTTAGAAACTTGGTTGGTCTCATAAGTCATTTTTCCAAAAAAAAAATTAAGAAAGAAATGATTATTTCGCATATACGTAACAAAATACTAACCAAATACTAACCAAGATTACTGCTTTGACGTTGTCAGAAGTTAACGGAAACTGAAGACCCCCGTCATCTTTAAGCCTCAATAGAACATCAACCAGATCTTCATTGTCAATGATGTGTCCACCTTTACGACGTTCTTGGTGCTCGGCTACGATGTTGTCAAGAATCTGATCGATCTTCATGTGTAACTTCACTAACTTGCTCCTCACCCCGGAAACTACATGCAATACTTTCACAGAAGGAAATATATCAGCCACATCAAAACCACCGGATAAAACTATAACCTCTTCAAGCAACGCTGTAAGGGTTTCCTGATCATTGCATCTGCTCCCAACCGCAACCCTATATATGATGCTATTTAACAGCGTGAAAGTCTTCTCAGAAAGATTGATTATTTTTGATGTCTGCATAGCCATAGCCATGGATTCAATGAGGTTCCACGACTCTTGTTCACGAATAGATCGAAAAGACTGGACCTTTTTTACACTCAAAAGCTCCAAGGTGCATATCTTCCGAATCTGCCTCCAGTATTCTCCATAGGGAGCGAATGCAATATCTTTGTAGTTGTATGCAACGATTTCGGCACTTAGAAGTTTGGGTCTGTCTGCGAAAGAGAGATCATGAGTTTTCATGACTTCTTTGGCCAAATGGGATGACGAGATTACAACAGCGGAGACTTCACCGAGTTGAAGACGAAAGACTGGTCCTAGTTTTTCGGCTAAGTTTGCTAAAGCTCGGTGTGGGAGTGCGCCAGTGAGATGATGCATGTGTCCGATTAGAGGGAGCTTCCATGGCTGCGGTGGAAGCTTTGTCGTTGTATTAAGGGAGTTGGAGCTTCTATGCGATTTAAAGAATAAGAAGAATATGGAAGCAACAAAGAAAAGGAGAGAAAAGGAGATCTGGAGTTCCATTTTAGGTTGGTGAAGTGCTTGTTAGAGAGCGCATCTAAGGGTTTCTTATAAAGGTAATATGAGTTGACTATAAAAATGGAAATGAAATTATCAAGTAATACATTAACAGCAAATTTTATTTCAAAAATAAGAGAATAAAGGTACATAACAGAGATGCGGTATCTCATACGATTAAGACACAGCTTGACCATTAGAAGTTTATAACATATATATATATATATATATATATATATATATATATATATATATATATATATATATATATATATATATATATATATATATATATATATATATATAGTGGTTGTTGGTGTACTTGATCCGCATAAAAGAATATAACTCCACCTTGTTGGAGAAAAACCAACATTAGATTTAAAAGAAGATTTTTAAATTATTATGATCGGGGCTTCTCTACTTATTTATTACGTATAATTTTTTTATATTAAATTATAAATCCAAAATAAAATATTATTATATGTGAGGATAATCGTACTATTGCATAGAATCTTAAGACTAAAATCCCATGAGCTTAAAACGACAAACATTAACATATTAATTGTTTTATCATATTTTAAATATATTTTTAAATAAATTTTTCTTTCAATTTATCCTTTTACTTATATATAAGATAATGATAAATCGATCCTATTTTGTTTTTTTTTTCCTTTTTTAATTTTGATATTTATCTAAACAGAAAGATATTTTATTTTTCTACAATAAATTGTATGTGAAAAATATCTATATAGTCCTAATTAAAGAACTAAAATAACAATCCCACAAAATTTAATTTCACTAAATAAAAACAAACATAACGATTCCTTTTATATGGCAAGTATATATATATATATATATATATATATATATATATATATATATATATATATATATATATATATATATATATATATATATATATATATATATATATATATATATATATATATATATGAGTTAGGTTCAAATGTTTTCACTATCTATTGTGTGCATGTATAATTGATTCTGGACCAATCATTTTAGTTATTTTAAGAAAGTAATTAATGCATATTAAATGTTCAAAATGTAATTAATATTCATTATATCTTCAACATCTAATATGCATTAATTACTTTCTTAAAATAACCAAAATGATTCGTCCAGAATCAATCATACATGCACACAATAGATAGTGAAAACAAAATAACCTAACCCATATATGTATATATATATATATATATATATATATATATATATATATATATATATATATATATATATATATATAGGAGTAGGATCAAATGTGAACACCTAAAAGGTTGAGAATGCGAGAACAGATCTAGACCTTTCATTAATTAAGATCTAAAGCTAATATCAATTTGTCATTTATATAACTTCTAAAACTCATGGGATGAAATCGTAAATATTTAATTGACTAAAAGGGTATTTTAGTCATCAATGTCTAAACTATTTTTATCAGGTTCCTTAAATCTCTCTATCCCTACATTTCCTTCTTCTCTCTCTGATTCAAACATTTTAACCCTAATTCCTATGAGTCGTAACCATCGTCTCACCTTTCACCGCATCTACAAATCCTGTAGCTCGATTTCAAGAATTGTAAGTTAATTTCCAATTAGCCTTTTGCAACTTAATCTCTAATCGGTGTCGTGTAAGTCGATTTTAATTTATTGATTGTCTTTGGAGATTGTAGACCTGCAAATTGATTTCAATTTTGAAGGTATGGTCTCGATTTTGCTTGAATGTTGCTGTCATGATAAAGGCCGGTGATGGAGGATCTGTTGATGGTGGTTTCTTGGTGACGAAGGGTGAAGGTTGCCGGCATGTCATGATGATAGTGATGGGTACGATTAGGGATTCCTTTATTTTAAATTTTTCATCATCAACTATGCACAATTATTAGACAGAGGGCACGGGGAATCAGAGAGATGCCAGAGAAAGTTTTGAGTTGACTATGAGGGTTTTGAGAGTTCTTCAGATTTCTTGTTCTCGGATTCAAGCAGGATAAACTCTATATTCTGGTAAGTCTTTCAACCCTTCTATTTTCATCTGTGAATAGTCTTGTGTTCCGCTTTGATTTCTCGATGATTTGGGCCACATTAAAACGACCTAGTGAAGTTTATAATTTTCAGTTTGTAGGAATAAATCATTTAACTAAAAAAATTAATCATTTAAGAATAAAATTGGTGTATATGAATACATAGAATGATTCTACTTTCATACTTTTTCTCCTCCAAAATGATAATCATTTTTTAATACAAGTTTTATTCGTTAATGAATAAAATACACTAACAAGTGATTCTCACTAAGTGGTATTTATTAGCTAAAGTGTATATATTTGTATCAACCAGAAATTGATTTAGTTCACTCACTTCTACATGAGTCCTTTTCCACCATGATCTATGCCTTTCAATTTAATTTAATGATGGCCTAAAATGTTGCTGCAATTCTCATAATCATTGGTATCTTTGATATGTTTAGCATTGTTTTTATTATGTAATTGTTTGGTTTCTCATAATCATTGGCGATTACAATTGATGATTTTAATGGGTAAATGTGTTTTATTCTATCTTTGTAATTTTTTTGACCTACAACTACCTTACACGATGCTGCCAGCATGATGAAAACCATTGAAAAAAGAGATTATGATAGTGCATAGGTGTGTGTGCGCGAAGCAGGAGGAGGAAATAACGTCGATAGAGATAAAGAGGAGGAAGATCATATACATCGAAGACATAAAAATTCATGAATATATCAATTTATTACCTTTTCTGATTCTTAGCAACTTTTGTTCCTTTTTTTTCCAACTTTTTTCATATTTGTAAATATAAATGTATGATTCATTTTAGATTTTAGTTATATGAATATAGTTCTATATTAGTCAAAAGAATCAATTATACATCTAAAGTTGTTTAATCATTTATGAATACAATTTGTAATAATATCAGTTTTAATCCATTATGAATATAAACGTATAAATATAGGAATACAATTTTGATTTATTTATTTATGAATATAAAAATGGTAGATAAAATAAAATTAGAAAATTTAATAATTATTCGTTTATGAGTATAAAAATGGTTGATAAAATAAAATAAAAAAATATACTAAATTGATAATTTTTCATCTTTTGTATATTTATTTTTGATTAATAGAATGTTTTTTATTTATATAGAATAAATAGGATGAATAGTAAATTAATTTTTTTTGAGTTTTTAATTTTGAGAGAAAATATGATAAAAATAATTTTTTAATCTTTAATTAAGATAAAAAGAAGTCAACGAATTCTTTTATTAGGTAAGTGTGATTTGAATTTTGGTATCCCTAAATTGTTGGAAAGTGTCATTTAATTGTATTTTACTATAATTAAAATAAAATACATAATTACTTATATGCCCTTATATAATGATTGGTTCAGAATTGTTCTCGCGTTCTCAATCTTTTAGGTGTTCTCATTTGATCATCCCCTATATATATATATATATATATATATATATATATATATATATATATGGGTAAAGTGAATATACCTAACAACCTTATATAAGCTTAGGTATCTAACCTCATCAAACTACGTCATTTTGCATTAAATTTTCATTACAATCATCCAAGGTTCTTAAACTTCATCCCTAAACTTGTTTTACTTTAAATTTTTTTTGGAAATTCATCATTATATTTCTCCTACATCCTTTCATATGTAGCGGTAGGATATGAAGCCCATAAGGTGGTATTCCATAGAAATACGTGATGTAAAAGAAAGATATTGGTGAAAGTCCAAAGATTTTGGAAGTAATCAAGTTATGAGGTTAAAGTTTAAGAACCTTAGGCAATTATAATGTAAATATGATACAAACCGATGTAATATTATGGAGTTAGGTACCTAAGCTTATATAAGGTTGTTAGGTATATTCACTTTACCATATATATATATATATATATATATATATATATATATATATATATATATATATATATAATATATATATATAAATATATATATATATATAGAGAGAGAGAGAGAGAGAGGTAGGTTCTGTTGAGATTAAAAATAAAATAGAGATCGTTAGATTCAACTTCAGCCACGTATTTCACATCTGCCGTTTTAACCCTCCGGCAATCCGGCGTGGCAGGCGTAGTATAATCACATAGCGCCGCCCATTTATTTCTCCTCCGCCACCATTTCACCACCATAACCGCCGTTGCCACCACCACTACCACCATCTCTGACACCAACCGACCCCACCACTGTCACCTCCGTTACTTATATCACCGCCACCTCTTTCACCACTACCTTTTCTACAACTAACTGTCATAATCATTTATGATTACTCAATCTGTGAACAGACATATGTATAATCATTTATGATTATGCATATACATATAAACATGTATAATGTTATATGATTAAAACATCTGTGCCATATAATCATTTATGATTAGACATACTCTGTTGTTGCCGGTATGCCGGAACATTAGAGCGGCAAATGAGAAATATGTGGCTAAAGTTGAATATGAAGATCTCTATTTTTTTTTAATCTCAAGTGAACTGTCCCATATATATATATATATATATATATATATATATATATATAGACACACACACACACACACACACACACACATATATATATATATATATATATATATATATATATATATATATATATATATCAAGGTTGTAGCAAACGTTAGACGTTAGCTAGTCGGTGGACTGGAGTCTAGGGATTAATCGGCTAAGCGGGGGTTAATCGGGGACCATTAATTATTAAGAAAATTATTCAAAAATTTATATATATATATATATATATATATATATATATATATATATACACACACACACACACATAATCAACTTAAACAAGGAACTCAATTGTAGGGAGCGAACCAACGAACTGAGCATCCTTCTTTCTTTTTTACCTCGCTTTCAATTGCTCTTCCTTGTGTCGAGATCATAATTGATTCACAGAATCGATCGACACCCACCACAACCTCTTCTCTCTTGGAGATAGATTGCAGGTTATCTCCCTTTTTTCTCAACCTCTCCAATCGATCCCAACCCCTCATTCCCTCTTTAATTAAAGTTTAAACTGGTGATTCTGCTTGAATTATGTTGATTTTGAGATTTTGTTTGTGCAAGTATACAGATTCAAGGAGAATTGTGTGGGAATAATGTTGATATCAAAAGTGGAGGAGGATAAAAAACAATGCATCAATCAAATGCATAGGTTTTTTTATTTTTTATTTTAAAGTTTACTTGAAAAAAAGAATCTTGCATCAATCGTCTTCATATTTAATCTTCAGTCGTTGTTAGTTGTACATACATGGGTGAAATTTTAAATGAATCGTTGAATTCGATTTTGGAGCTCTGAATTTTAACCCTAAAATTTGTTTGATTATATTTGAAGTTCACGTTCTTGGTTCAGATGTGTTGTTTTCGGTTGATTGAATTTTTTTTCTAGTAATTGTGCGTACTATTATAGTCAATTGTAGCTTCACAAACATGTGATTAAGGAGTATGATAATGCTCTTAAGCTTGATCCCACGCTTCTTCACGCTTATATCATCAAAGAATTTTCTTTTACTCTTGTACTTCATTTTTCAGTTATGGACATTTGGATTCATTATGTAACATCCTGATGTTGAGGTACTTCTAAATTTTAACCCTAGGTATGAAGATTATTGCATATTAGTCATTGTGTGTGATAATTTTTGCAAAATGGCCCATAGTAGCAATTTGTAAATAATAGGCGTGGGCCACATATTTTGGGCGTACGTGGCAAGATCTAAAACCCTAATTTTTCGGGTTTGGACCCTATTTAGACATCTTTATGGCCTCCATCTTTTTATCTCATCACTCTCCATCACTTCACTCGACCTTAGAAAACCCTAGTTCCTTGTTTGAGCATTCTTGACCTTTGGTGTGCATTTTGGTAACCTTAAAGGAGAAGGAGGGAAGTGGAATCACTTTGGAAGCTTGAAGAAGCATTGGATCTGGAATCCTCATTTATCTAGCAACCTCCAGGAGGTATAAAGTTCTAAACTTAGCTTGCGTTTCTTTAGATATTGTTAGCTCTTGAGTCTTAAATCATTTTGGTCCCAAATCTTGACATTTATGAGTATGGAATGCTCTAGCCCAAATAAGCCGTCATTTTAGACATTTTGAGATGTCCTGAAGCATAAAAATATTTATTGGTTCTTAGTTCTTCCCCACGCATGTGCTAGGATGTCCTAATGGATTAAAAAGTTAGGGTTTGTTGGTATTATGGACTTCTAGCCATGCAAAGTCATAAAGTTGGGAAATTTATGACTTATAATGCTATTTTGGGCTTAGATGCAACGCACGGACTCTGGTACACATTTATTTACAAATTATTATTGTTTGAAAGGCTACTCAACGAGTTGGAAGCCCCAGACTCGTCAAGTAGCAGTTTGCCTTGGAAGCGAGATTCAACCACCTACTCGACGAGTCAAGAGCTCTGGATTCGGCGAGTAAACCTGGCAAAGTGAAACCCTAAACCGGAATAGCGGAAACGTTAAGGGGTAGATGAAGTCATGTATAGTATCACAACCATTTCATTACAGTAATCAAAGTAAACATAACCACTACATTGAATATATATAAAAAGGAAATTACATCTGTTTAGTTCTTGACTTTATAAAATCAAAAGTATAATCAAAAGAAAAGACATCACTCTATACGCTCCGTCTTCTCAAAAACTCCAGGAGGTACCTGTCTAATATTTTCCTGAGAATACAAGCAGTTTTGAAAGAGTATCAGCATACAGCTGGTGAGTTCATATGCATGTTTTTGTACTGAAAATCTGACAATCTATTGATGAATCTGTAAAATGTTTGTATGTTTTCAAGAAAATCCATTATTTTCTAACATATGTATTTTGTTACTGAATCTCATTAAATGTGTTGTGCATTGTTTGATTGAATCATAAATCTTTGTATGCATGCAAAACCATGATCATCACTAGTATGTATAGTACGTTTGGAAAGTGTCACGCCCCAAAACCATTGAACGGAGGAAACGTTCTGGGGCGGAGGACGTCATGTACAGTATCACAACAATGAAAAGTAGTAAACAAGCAACAACATCATCCATTGCATTAATAATATAATTTTAATACAAGTGTATTATGATATGTATAATAGACACTAATGAATAAATCAAAATGAAAGATGAGTCTTGAATCCATCTTCCTTAATCCTTGCATTGGTACCTGTCTATGATGACCTGAGGATACAAGTAATTTTGAAAGAGAGTATCAACTTGAAGCTGGTGAGATCATATGTAATTTAGTGTCTTAATTTGTATGTAAATACTTGTATGTATTTGAAATGTAAGTATTTGTATGTATACGAACTGTAAGTATTGAAAATGTAAATGAACTGTATATATGAAAATGTTTGTAAAACAACTGTAAACGTTTGAAAAGCCCTAGAAATCCCTATGATTCCTATTAGTAACAAATGGAGTCTTCTACCAAGACTACCTACTCTGAATGTAACCTTCTACCAAGGCATCTAGTTTCTGTGCGTGTGTCTCTTGTAAGAGTATGTATTTTCACAGGTATGACTATCATTAACCAAAAATATAGTTTCTACATTACCGTGCGTCGTGTGAATGTTCACGAAGTGAATGTAAATGGGAAAACGAAATAGTACTATGGTGTAGTGTCGAACTACAACCGTACCAATTACCTTAAGTCTAAGGTAATCTTGTAAGTACTGTAGCAATTGTAATAATTAACTACATCGGTACCCAGCTGCCTTATTTGAGGGATAAGGTATAATGTGATGTCTAGATCCCAGGCTGTACGCTCCCCTATCAAAGGGATTTTGGGACCTACCCACGAACCCTGCATATCTGCAAGCCGTGAGCATCCACATTACTAGGATCATGTATACTCGATATAACGATCACAATTGCGTTGTGATTCATCGGTATAGTTAGATCCTGA